TAAACCTCGTGNGTACGCGCGCGGTCAGCGAACGAAAAAAGAAAAAGGAAGAAAAAAGGGGGTAGACCACCGAAATATCGGATGGGGTCCAGCTTCCGCGCGCGCGAGATCGATCCCGCGCNCCTTTTTTTTCTCCCGCTCTCCCCGCGGCCGCCGGTTCTTATTATTAATCGATTCGAATTATCGATCGCGCAGTCATCGCCGGTCGTCGCTGTCCGCTGCCTTCGGCCTGGCCGCCGGCACACCAGTCCGTCCGCCTATATTCCGCTCCGCCTGGATGCACGACCACCACCTCCGCCGCCGCTGCCGCCGCCGCCGCCGCCGCCGCCGTTGCCGCCGTTGCCATCGCCGCCGCCACCGCCGTCGTCGTCGTCGTCGCCGCCGCCATCGCCATAGTGCGCCGCTCGCCGTCAACGTTGTGCGTATGCGTCAGCACGTACAATATCTGCGTGCACACGTAGTTTGCGTCCGCGTTTGCGTCCGTGTGCCGCGCGCGGTGTGTACAATGCGCGCGAGACCACGAGCGCGAGGATGTGTCGCGACGGAGCAAGCGCGAGAAAGAGAGGAACGGAGAGAACGCGCGTATGTACGTATGTACGTGTATGTATGCGTGAGTGTACGTGCGCGCACGTGTAAGTGCGTGGCAGGGTGTGGGTGCATACGGTGACCCTGCCGCGCTGGATGAGTGGGTGGAAATTCAGGGACGTAGCGAGGATCGACGAGAATCGGCGAGAAATACGGAGCTGCGACGCGCGTCTCGTGCCTCGTGCTTTTTGATATTCTCTCTCTCTCTCTCTCTCTCTCTCTCTCTTTCGGGTCAGTAGTAATGATATATCTTTACTATGCAATGTCTTGTGAAGAAAAATTTGCACTCTTCGTGAACGAAACATTATCGCGTCTAATACGTTTTTCGCGATCGCCGAAGTCTCTCACGTCTGTGTTCGCACTACTCTCTTTTTCGCGTGTACTTGTTTCGCTTAAAAAACAATACATTCGAAAGCGCAATCGAACAGAACAAACATTGTGTTTCGGCGAAGTTTGTTGATTTTCGAAATCCATCTTCACCAAAGGTACACCACTCTCTCCCTCTCTCTCACTCTCTTTCTCTTTGTATCTTATTCTTCTTTGAACATTTAGTCTAATCCATGAATCTTTTATTATCTGATTTTCATGCAATCTTATCGTTACATAAAAACTTTTTACGCCTTAAAAACCGAGTATCTTGAGTAAATGTAATATATTAATCATGTAATCTTTGTTACGATTATTCGATTGCATTTCATAAATGACAAATGACACGAGTATTCAAGTGCTGGATTTTACAGTGTTCCGCGCGATAATCCATGTTGAATATTTTCCCCCGATTAAATTTCATAATCTTCAGAAAGTCGCGGTGAAGTTCTACGTATTAGGCGAATATTTCGCTCTCCTCTCTCGATCTCAAGGGTGTCAAAGCCAAAAGCTCTTGACACGCTCCTGCCTGGAGCGACACGTGTCCGTGTGTGCGTGTGCGTGTGCGCATAGCCAGGTTGGCACGAGAGGAGGCCCCGAGAGGGCGGGCGACGAAGGGGGTCAACGAGCGAGAGGGATGTAATGGTCAGGGAGGAGGAGAGGGTGATGTTCACGCGTGGGAGGAAGAGAAAGGGATCGAGGGAGAAGGAGATCTAACGGGTGTGTGGATCATGTGTGCGTCGGAGAAGGACGGCGCGAGCTGGACGAGGATCGTCACCGTGCGAGCAAGAGAGAGAGAGAGAGAGAGAGAGAGGACGAATCAGCCGAAGGGGGGATAAGACTGGCACGCGAGAAAGAGGGATCTGGTCGGTGGAACAGCGACGGCGATATCGTCGAAGCCCACGTACACATACAACCTTCCAGCACATACACGCCAGCGGATGCACACTGGGCCGTCAAGCTCGCGCACTACAGACTGCCAGACTCCCACCACGGCCTTTTGGAAAAATCAATAGAATACAAGAAAAGCCCATGGTGCGCCAGGCGAGAGCGGAGCCCTCTCCTCTTCCAACCCTCTCGTCATGTCCCTCTTTCTCACTCTCGTCTTCGTTTTCGCTCGCTCTCTCTCTTTCCCTCTCTCTCTCTGTATTTCTCTCTATCTCTTTCCATCTCCTCTCTGCCTCTCTTTCGCCCACCACCCTCCCTGCTTCTCGCCGCATCTCTTGCGCGCACACGCGGTATCCGTGTTCGCCGCTGCTCGCGACAAAGACAGGGAGAGCTCGCGTGTACACACTGGCGATCGACGGAGATAGGCGGTATGCGTGCACGCACGACGGCCAAGGACGGAGATAAGGACGAGAGAGTAGGAAAGGGGGCTAGGGGGGACGAGGGCAGACGCAGGATTGTGTGCGAGAGTCTACGAGTGTATTCGACAGTATCCAAGCGAGTTGAACAGAGAGAGACTGAGAGGCGGAAAGGCTGGGAGGAAGAGAGCGGGAAAAGGAGAGAGAGAGAGAGAGAAGAGAGACGCGAATCGCACTATGAGCTTAGTTTTGATCGAACAGAGATGGCGAATGCGAAAGGAAGAAGAGGGAGAAAAATGCGTTCGTGTGCGCTTAATAGACGGGGCGGAGAGAAAGAGAAGGAAAAAAAAGCCGTCGCGGTAGAGATAGAGAGAGGCGGAGATATCCGCGGGACAC